AGAATGGCTTGGGTTGGACAGGACCTCTAAATATCATCTAGTTCCAGTCTCCCTGCTGTAGGTAGGGGCATATTTCAGTAGATCAGGCTGCTCAAATTAATCACATTTCTTCTTATTTCTTTTGTCACAGTCCTTCTAAAATTTTCTCTCAAAGCTCGTATGGGATCAAGAACGCACCTACAAACTTTCATATACTTAAATCATCTTTTTTTTCCTTCCTAAACCAAGGAATCACTCATGCTTTAGCCACATTGTACCACTATGCTCACAACACATTTAATAAACTCCCATTATAGATTCTTCCAATACCTGCTCTGTCTTCTTAAAATTTTGAAATGGAAATTGTTCTGTATTGCCTTCCAACTGGATGTTGTTTTTACCTTTGCTGTACAGCTTCTACTTCCAGAATTTCTTTTCCGTCATCTGTCTTTAATCCTCCACAACTGACACTGTCCTTACTAAAAGGTGGAACCAAGTGCTAATTTAGTTCAAGAGCCATTTCTTGGTAATTGTTTATCTTCCTCACATGCTCTCTGCATTATGGCCTTCCTTTGTAACTTGTTTTCTTTGCATGGAGACTGCTGAATACCTTTTAAACTGCTCATTTCAGTATCTTCACAAAGTTTACACTGAGTGAATTTTTTGATAACTCTCAGTTTATTTATCTCCCAATCTAGGGTAAGGATAGGGGGCAAACTGATAGAGGTGATTCCAGAGCTTCAGTTGCTAATACGAAGTACTAGATTCAGTAGTACAGAAATAATAGACAGCCTAAGCCTTGGTTTATGCAGGGCCTAAATAAAAACCCACGACTAATAAACAGCCTTAGTAACTTATTATTTTTGAAAAAAGGTATTCTCTATCCTCTACTTTATGATTTTTGTCAAAAGTAACAACACAAATCACTGGTGCTAAATAAAAATTCCAAATCATTTACCATCTTTATCTAGATTGTCTGTTGCTAATCTTTTCATAGATTACATTTTTCAGAAAGACTCTTTGACACAATGGTGTCCTTCCTCTCTTATAAGATCCAAAGTCAGGAGCATATTGTTTTAAGGATTAAACTGAAGGCAGTATTATTCCACTCCTTGTAAAATACTGCTTAAAAAAAATTAAACCGGCCATTTCTATTCTAAATACACAGATGGTAAGCCAGACCGATATACAGTGTTGCCATATACTTATTTTGTGCCATTAGAACTAACAAACCACACAGTTCCCTGTACACTCATAAACTTCTCCATGATAATCTGCTGTGCATCCCTAAGCAAACTCCTCCTATGGTAAACAATTAGACTTTGTGTCCACTGGAAAAAAAATTGATCAGGCAAAATCAAAATTGCATGACATTTAAAAGATTGTTATTTCATCTTTTTGTCTTTCACACTGTACTTTTTTTAGCTGGACCAGAGTTAATTTTCTCCACGGTAGCCAGCAGGGTGCCGTGTTTGGTGACCAAACTGAGTGTTTCAAACACACTGCTGTTTAGCTATCTCTGAGCAGTGCTCACACAGCGTCAAGGCCATCTCTGTTTCTCATGTGGCTCCTGTCCCAGAAGTAGGGCAGCACAAGAAGCTTGCAGGGGATACAGCTGATCAAACCGATTCAAGGCCCTTCCCACATCCTATGATGCCACGCTCAGCAATCAAAGCTGGGGAGAGGAGGAGACACATGTGACTTGACAACATGTGGCTTTCCAAGTTACCATCAGACCTGATGAAGCCCTGCTTTCCTGGAAATGGCTATAAATGTGCCTGCTAAGGGGACATAATGAATAGATTCCATATTTTGCTTTGCTTGCGCACGCAGCTTTGCTTTACCTCTTACACTCTTTATCTCAACCCATGAATTTTTCCACATTGGCCCTTCTGATTCTCTCCCCATTCCACTGTAAGGGGAAGGGTGAGCAGCTGAGCTGCCTAACAGGGTTAATCCACACCACACACTGGAACTACTCTTTAGAGCGGTTATGCATGCTTTAAATCCAAGATTAAAGTCCATGCTTGGCATGTGTTCAGATGTAGACTCAAAAAGCCTGGTTTGGACAATTTGATCTGTACCTTTAACTTACCATTGAGTGGTTAGCACCAGTAACGTAAAATAATGCTATAGCTGACGACCATCTGAGTTTACATTTCTTGAATGGAAATAAACTCCCGAGCCTCTCCTCCGAGCGATGCCAGCTGCAGGAGCCCGAGCGGGTGTCGCAGCCAAGCCCCGCCCGGGTCCCGCCGGGCCGACCACGCGCACACGGCGACGGCAGAGCGGGGGCTCTCCAGGCCTTCGGTCCCGCCGCTCAAGCGGGGACCGCGCAGCGCCGCCGCCACCAGCGCCCCGTGCGGGCACCGCCGCGGGAGCTGGGCCGGTGCTACCGGAGCCCTCGCGCCCCTTCCCCGGCCACCTCTGCGGCACGGACAGCGGCAGCCGCAAGGCGCCCCTAAGCCGAGCCCGGCAGGTGCGCTCGATCCCGTCATGTGCCGCACGGCGAGGCGGCGCCGGCTGCGGCCAGGGAGATCCCGCAAGTCCTCGCCCAGGCCGTGCCTCAGGCAGAGCCCCCGCCCGCCGCGGTCCGGGTGGGGCCGTTCGCATCCGCCCCCGCACGGCGCTCCCGGGGCGGCTGCTCGCAGTATCGAATCGGGCTGGTGCCTCCGCACGGATCGCTGGACACGGCACCGGCACCGGCGGTGGGCGAGCAGCCCCTGCCAGCGGCCCCAGCGGAGCGCGGCCCGAGGAGGCCCATCCGGCGGGCAGGGGAGACTCGGCCGGAGGCGGCGGGAAGCCCGGGGCGGGCGGTGACCTCACCTCTGCGCCTCTGGCCGCGCCCGCTACCGCCCCGTCCCCCGGGGCGCTGGGCAGGGAGGCCCCAGGCGAGACGCGGCGGTCAGTCCCGGAGAATTTCGGGGAGCAAGGTCTGCCCGGCTCGCGGCGGCCCCGGGCGGGCCGATCACCCAGGTCCACGTGCCGTGTGCCGGGGAGACGCATCCCTGGAATGAGCGGCATAGATAGCCCAGGTGCAGGAGAAGGACCTCAGCAGTGCCGCACCGTGCTCGGGGAAGTCTCCGGACTCGACCCTGACGCTGAACTGTCACTTACACATTAACTTGTGTAAAATGGAGAAATACAAGCTAAGCATTATATTTTCGAAATCCGAATCAATCTTTAAAACAGTACTGGGAAATTTGATAATTACACAACGATAAAATCCAGTAGTTACAGGAGTCCTGTCTACTTTTGGAGACAGACCTGATAGCTGAATCGTTCCTACAACAAAATACAATGTTGGCATTTGAACGAGTTCCATGGTGGGATACTTTTTTCCAGTGTCAAAGGCAATAAGTTACAGACCTTTTTTTTCCCTGTGAGAATTAGAGAATTTAAACATACAATGCATTTATTGCTGGGGAGAAGGTAGCATTAAATGCATATGGCAACACCTTTACATTTCATTATTACAATTCAAATTGTAGCATAGCCAACATAGTTCACTTTCAAAGCCAAAGAAGTGTCTCTCCAAGGGGATGTATCCTTGATAAGAGCTACGTCACACCAATTTCCTGCAAAGACATATAACAGTATCATCAGGTACTTCCCAATCATGTGTAAATATCATTAAAAAATAGTAGACTGAGGCCTCAAACACCGTTTGTGAAACAAATAATTTTTTCAATTTTGAAAATCTCTTCCCTGGACACATTGATTCAGTTCACATATCAAATGCATATATAATTACACAGTACATAAAAGGGCTACTTCCCTGTTCTTTAAACAATCTCTTCTGCCTTCCCACAATAAGGGTGGCTCTCCACTTTCCCTCCTTAGAACCGAGGTTTCACTTTTGAACTTACAGTATGGTTTCAGATAGCACCTTGTTAACATTCATGATTAACGATGAGTTGTATCTCCACAGGGCTGTATCCCTGACAAGGGATTCTCTGGGGAGGTCTCTTTGAAGGGGCTTCCGACAGTGATAAATGAGGGCAACATCCATGGGAACATTCACACTGTCCCCATAGGCATGTAGGACAGAGTGGACAGAAGTCTGAATCACCTTTTGTGGATCAACTATCATCTTCCTGGGATTGAAAACATCTTTCCTGTCAGGCTCTCTGTGAACATGCTGTAATATGTTAACACCTGGCACAGTATTCCAGGACGAGATGTTGAACATGTGAGTAGAGATGGTTTCTGGGAAGATATGGTTCTCAAAGAGGAAAATGCCAGTCCCTGGATTTTGTTCCTGAAGGCTGCTCATCATTGTTTTCCAGTTTGGATGCTTAAGAGGAAGAATTATTTCATCAGCATCATTAAGAACCACAAACCTGCTCCTTTGCATGTTACGGTATATACAGTCATTTAGAGCTGTGATTTGTCCGTAATAGCCAATGTCTTTTGCATCCATAGAAAAGTGCCATTTAGAGGAAACCTTGAGGTGTGAGTTTATCGGCCAGGGAATTATCTCTACAGTTCCTTCTTCTATATAAAACTTCAAGACTTTCTCCATCAGATGGCTGCAGTTGTTCTTATAGATCACCACTTTCTGTGCTCCAAGAATCTTGTACATTTCCAGACTCTGTATGAACTGCAAGACATTGTTGTAGTTTCCAAACATGGCAGAGATGCACACAGTGAAGTCAACAGAAAAGGGCTCAGGCTTGCGGTTTTTAATTTCAAACCTTGGCAGCTGGTCAATATTTCCATGTGCAAAGGGATGAATTGATACATGCGTTGGATCACAGTTTTCAGGTTCCAAACAAACTATATCTGCTGCACCATAAGGGAATCCAAATCTATCTGAGTGAACATCGATTTTTGCATTTGATACATAGATCTTTCCATTGGGCTGACAGCAGAACCAGCAGTATAGTTGTTTCACATCTTCGTGGTGAACAATCCCAATCACACGAGTGACTTTGCTTTCTCTGTCATCAAAGTATGGGGATATAATAAAAGTTTTGTTATCTTTTAATGGTGTTATTGCATTTTGAGCAATTTTCCCCCTACAAAG